GCAACCACACAGGGCTGTGTGTGTGTGTGTGGTGTGTGGTGTGTGTGTGCGTGTGTGTGCGTGTGTGTGTGCGTGTGCGTGTGCGTGTGCGTGTGCGTGTGCGTGTGCGCGTGCGTGTGTGCGTGCGTGTGTGTGTGTGTGTTTTTATTCGGACGAGCGGGGCTCCGTAATAAACACGCAGATGGCGCCAGCGAATTGCTAGTGTGCTTTATCTCGTCGAAAATTTCTTTGGAAGGCTTCCTGATTTTGAGTACAGAAATTAAAGTTCAAATCAGTAGATGTTTTTGTGAGTTTTCTATCAGCTATAAGTAATTCGTAATTCTCATTAGATTTCATTGCTATTAAAAAGATTACACATGATTTATAATCTGTTACTGCGTACACTGTTTCTCGAAAAATAATACAGTATTCAATTAACATTAACAGTGAATTGTCAAAAGATCAATTGATATATTTGCAATCTTCAAACGTCTAAAGGAGTTGCATCATTTGATCATTTAATTTCTTCGCTGAATTATCTCCATGGTCATTTTCAGTGGCGATTTAATTGAGATATAATTACCTCTCACTAGTAAGCAGTTAGTAATGAATAGTTATTGTGAAGAGTCGTTTAAAGACTCTGTGAAATAATTATTGTTTGTGAGAAGTGCTATCCAACTCTCATCATTCATTTGTGTGTATGTGTGCTGGGGTGTGTTCTGTAAGCGAATTGATTTGTTTCGAATGCTGTATACGGTTCGTAATTTAAGACTCATTCGGCTCTTGTCTTTCGTTGCAGATGCTAAGAAATTGACTTTCTAAAAGCGCATCGTATTAATACAGTGAGCTGAATCAGAAACAGTTTAGGAGGGAATGTGACAATAGGATCTCGAAGTCTAATGGTTGTAGTTATTGAACCACCTGTGATTGCGTTGCCTAAAATCATTTCGAGAGTTAGTCTCCACAGTCAAAAATCAGTAAACCTCTGACTCCAGAGTACTCGCAGTAATGCTATGTGTGAGTGAAAACAATTTGTGTTACTTATATATTATAGGGGTATTGATGAGTACAATTCAAAAATTGCAACACTCAAGCTGTTATATTCAGAAAATAAACATAGAAAAGAAATCATCTACAGTTTATTCACCACGCACACTCAGTGGAAAAGTGTCGTAACTCGAAAAAAAATTGAATATTCAGTAGAGCGCCTTAAAGGTTTGAAATTACATAATCAAATCATGTTAATGAAGTACGAACTTCGTCAATAGTTGACTAAAATACGCCTAAAAAGAAACGACACTATTTTAGAACACAATAGCATAAAAATTCACTTTAAATAATGTTTGTAACTTAAAATTAATTTTTTTTTTTGAGTTAGGACCCTTTTTGTGTACAAACAGAATATCCACACAACAAATCAGTTCGCCTGTAACAATGTACCCGACGTACTGAAATCTCTTGGTGTTGAAACTCCCCCACAACAACTTGGGTGATGCTTTTATTCATCATTCAACTATGTACGAGTTTAGTAAATGGGTTGGGAAGAGATTCTTGAGCTCAATAAATCGTGCGCAAATTATTCTGGTTCTCCATACTATTTTTACTGTCATTTACCACTTTCACAGACTGTTTTTACTAATTTTTGAAGAAAATAAATCACAACAAATCAAAAATTTCGTAAAAACGCGTTTTATCTTATCGTAGGCCATCTTGTTTTGTCCAACGTTTCTCAATCAATGTGACCAACTCAAGAAAATACGCCTGGTGTTAGAGAAACGTCGTCTTCTATTGTGATATTTCTTTGTATTGTCGATTACGATAAGATAATTGATAAGGCAACGCAGCCATCGCCAAATTAAAATACGTTCGCGATTTAAGTTCTTCGATTGGTAATTTCAGTTGATGAGGTGTAGTCGTGTGGACTAGACCTTTACACGTTTCAGCAATGCCTGAACAGGTAAACAATTTTTTACTGTATTCATTCGTTGCATATGTTTTCTTTTTCAATCAACAAGCTATATCTTTTAATCTATATTAAGTAGTTAAGCTGTGTTTTAACCAGTTTAATAAATAAGATATTTTAATGGTTTAAACTTTTTCTAAAAGAGTGAACATATTATAATGCTGCGGGAGAAATCGGCGATTTTACGGAACAAAAACTTGTATTGTGATATCTGGTGAAGAAAAAGTGGATAAATCTTGTACCTATATGTAGGAAATGACTTCCTCTAGCACGTTGTGTAGTCATAATTCAAATCCTGTGGGTCCTTGATACCGAAAAATCGATTGACGGCGAAACATCCCTCTGTGGTCAACGCTAGCGCCTAACACGTTCAGACATTTTCTTTTTTTCAAAATTGATACTCCCTGATCGATCTTTTACTAAAATATTGAAAATAGATTCTTTTTCTAAATGAATCATGTTCTTCAAAGACAGATCTTGATTTAAGTTCATGAATAATTTTTCAAAAATATGAGTAGTTTTTGCAATATTTGCGTGAAATATTGACAATTTTTAAATAATTACTTTCTCAAAAAACTCTCAATTTTTTTTCTTGAAGCTTTTTCGGTGTAAGTAGCAAAGGTCGGTAAAAAAATTGGTGCAGTTCCGATTTTCGACGAGGTCTCTGTATTTTTGTAAATTTCAAAAAATAAACATTGTAAAAGTTCAGCATTGACGTTGGAGATTGTTTTCTTTAATGCAATTATCCAAAAATTAGTTCTATAAGTACGGTCATGTTCAATTTTTTTATATGGATAGCACAAGAACGCATATAGTATTTGCTTGATTTCTGGTTGAATTGAGTAAAATTTCCAAAAATGTTTTTTCTTACAAAACGGGTTCTAAATTGTTTCTTAATTTTTTCCCGCGAATAGAGTATAAGACGCTAAAAATGGTGCAAGTATCGTTTTCGTTTAGCTCTGAATTTTCGAGAATTGGAAAAATTAGAGATAATGTGAGAAAGTAGGTGCTGTTGTAACGCCATTAATCGTAATTGTCCACAAAGACGACGTAATCGTATATTTATCATTTTATGCCGCAGCTCACGTTCAGAGACCCTAAGATAATTTTGCATCATCTCTGTAAACATTTAAGCGATGGTTATCTGTTTGGGATATCTTCGTTATTCTTCTCATTGTACTTAAAATGTAAGAAAAGAGAGATACAAATTTTCAGAGTGACAATGGTAACCCTGCCAACTTCAGCAGCTGAAGTGTCACTCGAAGGGTAGAGAACTATTCTTCATGTCTTTCAAAACGAGCTGTGTAGGTAATTGGTTACATGCGTCTACACAAATCATCTTCGACTACAAGCAAGGTTTTTTAGCCACCAATTTTTTTTAAATTCTTGTCTTCCTAAATTCTTACCCTTCTTTTTTTACAGACAACCATAGATAAATTATGAATAAAAAATAAAAGTAAGCGGTATTGGGAACATTTGATAACACGCAACCTCTGAAAGCTGGTAGTGTTTGGGGCGTATTTCCCCCAGAAACGTGTACCATATCCCACACGCGTGAACAATATTCATACAGGGAGCGAAAATAGGTGGCACACGGAATGCCTGGCCTTAAGTACTCGATTGAATTTAACCGACCGATATGAATATCTAACGTGACGTTATTTGACATTAGTTTTTCACATTTAGTTGTATGTCAGGTGATCTGCCAGTTTTTTGACAGTAGTCAGGTGATTAAGAATTTGCGTCAATGCGAAAATTATTGAAGGTCATTGATTACCTTTGCTTTAATTATTGAATTCACGGCTTTTATTCGTTTAATGTCCAGAAGCCAATTTAAAAAAAATCGTGAGTGTCCACATTTTTACGGATGGCATCTCATTAACCGTCTGGCGGCTTAGGTCATTGTCCAGCTCGCTTTTCATAACGCGACCCTAGGTTCGATTCCCGGTCAGGCAAGATTGTAGTATGCGTTTTAGTTGCAATGTCCCAGTATATGTTGCTGTGTGGCAAAGTCAAGCAAATTGGTTATTAGAATTCCCAGAAATGTAAGTTCTTGGATAAAATTCATTGTTAATGATTTGTTTGTGGGCAGCACAAATACTCTTAATGATTTACTGAAACAAGTGAATGTTAACAAATGTCATTGATGTCATTAATATTTTGCATTATTACATTTTGTGTCACATTAAAATATTATTTATAACTATGTAGGTAATAATTTATCAATTTTACTTGTTATTTTGCTATTTTAATAACAGTTGTTCCCGGTCAGGTATGATTATAGTGTGCCTTTTCCAAGCAATGTTCTAGTATATATTGTTGTGTGACGATGATACAAGTCACTTCTCGGGTTAAGAAGACCATAATAAGGCGTGGGGATGTCTTCGTGCCAACACACGTACCCCCTTAACCCATGGCCGTGAGCCCGGGACGTCGCTGGTACGCCATGGCCCGTACACGGGCCGACGCGCAAATACAAACAAACAAACATTAACACAAAATAGGAAAAGTTTGAGTTCAAGTCTTGAACCATGGAGACTGGGATATCCGAATATGAGGACATTGGATCAGAGTAAAGTGATAGTTGTTCCAGATTAGAGAATGTATCTGCTTTTAAAATACGTTTCGCTCAATAAATCAAATGTTAACATTTTGTAACGGATTGAAGAGTTGTGCTGTGTATATTAGTAACGCTGGCCTTGTAACCCCTAGCAATGTAAAATGTTAAAACTGTGCGAGAATCTTGATAGGTGAACTGTAATTGTGTTTTGTTCATATTTTCCTATATTTTGAGACCTTGACATTACTCTAGATATTTGCAGTTGTTACCATACGTTTGCAGAAAAATTGTATTACTTAAAGATTGTCTTTTGAATGTTCCAGTACTTGATAGTAGAATAAGAATAATTCGTTCTTATTTGACACTTTATTATTAATTGTTACAGCGAAATATGCAAGCAATTTACCGTTTTCAATATTCTTCATATGAAGTTCTAAAATTTTTACTATATTTATACACACCAACATCAAGTTACGGGAAGACTGATTCCTTTAGCTCGATTATGTAGTATGTAGTTTCCTCCACTTCATCACATTTAATCTGGTTTTCTTTTATATTGTAAATATTTGCATTTTTGTGGTGTACGAATGAATGAAACCTAGACTTTTCAATTTTTGTCTGTTGGATCATTCACAAAATAAGATGAATTGTGAAGATTTTTTTACTTGGCATCTCATCGCCCTTCAACGTCACATATTTTGACCAGGACTGTCACTAACCATTTGGCCAGGGTTCGCTTACATACCTGCCTCACTAAGCACACTGACCATTTCCCGTGGTTCAAATATTCATTGACCCCTGTTAGATGTAAACCCGCAAACATCGACTTACCAGTGTAATTAGTGCCTGCTTATTGTGTTGCTGAAGTACTCGTAACTTGGATATTTCTTAGTTCTTCGTCTTTATTTTTCTATCAACACCAGACGAATCCCGGAGCAGTATCATAACAAACGAGCCAGGGCCCGCGCGCGATCTTTCCTTCCTCTTTCTTGTTATATCCTCAACCCTTCAGCACACACATTATCTACACTATCGCACAACCACATATGTTGGGAGCTTAGAGCTTGTCCCAGCTGGGGTGTGCTCCTTTGGGAGAGATACCGGGTTCATTCATATCGATTCAGTACATTCAGATCGATCGGGGAATATCAATATTGGAGATGGACAGACAGAGGCCACACATACAGGGACATAAGTGCGAACAGTCGGAGGGACATACGTTTTTCCGTCAATCAATTTTTCAGTATCAAGGACCTAGAAAATGTGGATTCTGCCTAAATAGTGTGTTAGAATTTACTTGATGTAGGAAGAATATTTATCCACGTTTTCGAGACTATGGCTCCAGAAAACGATGGCTTTGTGTCGAAAAATTGCCAATTTGTGCCGCAGAACTACAAAACTCTCTATTTACTCGGAGAAAAATTAAAAAGTAGCTTAAATTACGTCTGACAAAATATTATACTTTTGAACGAAAAACCTATCAAAATAGATTTAGCCTTTCCCTTGATTAGCTTGACAAAAAGAGAGACCAAAATTGTAACAAACAATTGACTGGGTTTTTTAATAGTGAAAAAAAACTATGAGCTTATGAAACGTCGTTTTTTAAATGATAGGAAGACACTCTATTTTCTTATGAAGATGTGAATGTTAAATTAACGGAGCCCATTTTGTTCCACAGCCCTCCGGATGGCGAAAGCTCCGCAGCATCGTGCAGTGGACCCCGTTCTTCCAGACCTACAAGAACAAGCAGGGGAAGCACCCGTGGGTGCAGCTCGCCGGCCACCAGGGTAAGTGGTGTAACGCCCTCGCGGGGATGACACTTCGCTCGCATCTTGTCAATCGTCCGGGGCGTCCGGGGAGGAAACGTCGACACTTCGCAAATAAGCTCTTGAGACAATCCAAAGCAAATTTTGTCTAATAAACTACTTGGATGTTCCGAATGGCTAAGCCGCTATAAGTACTCAAAGGTTTGGGAAAAAATTGCTTTCTAGGCAAAAATTTGCTTAGAAAAAAACAATCTAGAATCATGTAATATGTTTATTGTTTACAATAGAAATTAATATATTTGTTCAGAAAGAAAAATTAACACAAAAATAAAAAATGTACCCAATTTACATAATCCGACGAATTTTTTGTTTTGGGGTTAAATTTTTCTTTTTTGCCTAGAAATTATTTTTTCCAACATCTTTCAGTAGTTATAGCGGCTTAGCCATTACGAATATCCAAGTAGTTTATTAGACGAAAAATGCTTTAAATTATCTTAAAAGCTTATTTTCGAAGTTTCAACGTTTCTGTATACGTTCTGTATACGTGCGTAAAACAGGAAGAGGGCAATACATTTTTGGCCCTCTTTCCTATTATTTTTTTTATTTGCATAAACGTACAGTATTTTATGAGTAAATACATTAACCATTACGAGGAGAATGAAAGCATGGCTTGAAAAAATTAAAGACTTTAAATAAGGAAGGTTTATCTGCCATTTTTGTTAAATTTAAATTTTTAGCAAAGAATCAAGCGTTTCTTCTTAAAACAATAAAAATGGCAGTTTTATTCTTTTTTATTTCAAGATTCCAATTAATAATTACATTTTAGGTTGAACAAAAATATGTTATGTTCAACATATATTGCGTTATACGTTTTATCACGTAAGGCTGATGAAGTTCTTTAAAATGTTCGGGGCGGCGCAGGGCAGGGTATGCCACCTTGTTGCGACCTTCAGAGCTGCAGTGTTCTCACTGGATGACTTGACCGCCTGACATAGTGTAAACGTGGTGCAAGATTGGTCGAGGCAGCGACCAATGAGAAGCGGGCAGGTTGTTCTGGATTGGTGGCGAGCGAACAGTGCGGTAGTGGGGGGGGGGCGAGAGGGACACGTGGGGAAGGTGGATTACCAAAGGGTGAATTTGGAAGGCGGAATAACATGAAAAATATCTTGTTCGCGCTAGGAAGCCAGCTGAAGGACTCGGGGGGTAACATCCAACCAGCAGCGGCGATGGAGGGACGTCATTTGTCGACCGTGCGTCGGTTGAAACAGTAGTATATACTATGGCACTCCTAGTCCCTTCTGCGAATACATGGGCCGGGGTTGCCAGATTACGAAGTTTTGTCTCCCAAGTTTGAATTTTGTTGTTTTGGGGGAAAGAATGGGCACCAAAAATGGACGAGTAAATGTTTGGAGTTTTGGGGGAGACTGTGTGCATCGGAGTTGATATAAAAGTATTATTCTCTCAATTATTGTGAAAAAAGAAACAATAGATGCTATTTTTTATATATTAAAATGAGGCAAATAAACGATACGCATAGAGGAAGAAAAAAAATATGGGGAAAACGAGGATAGGGCTTCGAGGAGCCCAAAGGTCGACGATTGGTTGCTTTGAATTTGAGGGAACGACCAATGGAATCGTCAGGAACAGCTCATGGCGTTGGTCAATAATACGGAGAGTATTTTTCGTTTCAAAGTTGGGGAATTTTGTTTCATTGGAGAGATGTTTTGGGGAAATTTCGAAGTAGTGGTGGGGAAAGAGATCGCAACACATCTTGCATCGCTAGGCCTAACTGGCAACGCTGCACAATGCTGCTTGTATGTTTCCTGAAGAATGAAAGTGCTTCATTTCACAAAAGCAAACAAGCAATTACAATTAGCTTTGGAAAACGAGTGACAAGTAACTAAAACGTTTGGAAGTGATGAAAATCAAAGAATTTTACGTCCACTTTGATTTTGTAAAAAAACTTTTGAAGAGGAAAAACATTTCAGATTTATACGTTATTTCTTCACCATTTAACTCAATTTTCTTTTAAGTGATCAATTGGATCTATGACTGGAAAGTAATCTGAACGCATCATGCCATTTAAAAGTTTACTTAAGGAAAATTATTTCTAATCCGCAAAGAAATGCCATAATTAGAGCGGTATAAAATGTATGATACAAATATAATATTGTAAATAACTAGAAATTAACCTGAGTTTATGCGTTTCGGGGGATTGTTGATTCTGAATAAACTTCCATTATATTTCTTTGGCATCAAATAAATATTAAAACTTTAAATATGATTGTCTTTTCCCCCCTCGGATTCATTTCCAAAAGTTATTAGTTTGTTCGAAAGCTTCAACGAAGATCACGGATATTCCAGATTTATTCCTACTCTTACAAGAAATTATAATCTCTAACATTTGAGCTTCCTCTATTCCCACATATTAATGCAGCTGAGTTGAGTCGAGCGGATGCGTTTTTCAGTAGTAATGAATACCGTCCGGTGTGCGAGGTCGCTGTAGTAATATGTTAAAAGCTGACGCTGCACCCGACAAAAAGGTATAAGGAATACTCGGATGTCCTGATTGCAGAGACGTATAAATAGTTGCATCCTCTCGAATATAGAGACTTGTACCTCCAATCAGAATTGGCGTAACACGTGTGAATAACCCAGCATGATGCAAGAAAAAAATTACCGTCTCCGAGCTGTGCAGCCATTCAGAACTTCATGGGGTGTATTGCCCAGCTGAAGTGGCTCAGGGCATCAACTGATGTCTCAGCAGCAACTCTTTTCTGGAGGTCCTTGGAGCTCCAGCCCCGTCGTTGGTAGAATTTTCGACACCTGCTAGATAGCTAGGTCGAACATCAGTGGTAGCCCTGAGCCACCTCCTGCCGGCGCATGCACGAAGTTCTCACTGGCTGCACAGCTGAGAGATTGGGGAATACTAGGCCGAGTTGGGCGTAGAACTCTAGGTCGTTGCATTCGGAGGCAGTCCAGCGACATCAGTAGTTTCCCTGAGCCACCTCCTGCCGGCGAATGCACGAAGTTCTCACAGGCTGCATAACTGAGAGATGAAGAATCTTTGGCGTAGAACTCTCGCATTTCCGCAGCAGACGCATCTGAAGCTTCAACGCGGTGTGGCGGCGGCGGCGGCGGCGGTCGGGGGCGACACCCGAGCTCCCGGATGGGGCTGGGTGGTGGGTGGGTGGTCGGGTGGTCGGGGCCGCTGACGTCAAAGGACGCGGTGCGGTGAGGCGGGGCGCTCCACCGCCTGGCGCTGTGTGGCGTGGCACGTGGCGGGGCCACGGGGCGGAGCGGAGCGGAGCTCAACGCAAGCGGATCTCAGGCGGCGTGGCGCTACCACTGTTGCTTCCGCCCGTATAACGGAGCCAGAAACTTGTATAAATAATGGATTCGTAATTCAGAGCGCAACTGAGATCGTCTTAACGCCTTATGCAGAGTTCGAACGAGCAACCTTGTAATTCATATGTAATGGCTCGCGCCCGTGTACCACCAAGACAGAAACTTGTATAAATATTCTGTAATAAAACAAATATCTTGATTCACTGGTTCATGAGTGTTTCTGGGTGAATCAACTGCTAAGATCGCTGTCCCGTAAGAGAAGTGTATATTCAGCGTGTGTTTAAAACCGCACGCCAGGCCATATGCCAAATCATCCGGTCGCTTTTTTCTTCTTTTTTTCCGGTACGTGTGTGCAACTTTTCAATTCAATTCAATGTAATTTGATGATACCTTATTTTAAGTGACCATCGGGTTTTCTCTTCCGCCTACATATGCCAAAGCATCCGGGTTTTCGTCCTTAGTTTCTTTTTTTTTTTTTTTTTGCGGGATGTGTGTTTATGCAACTTTTTGATTCAGATTCAATTCAAGTCAAATTCAATTCAAGCTCAATGATGCCTTATTTTACGTGTAGAGACTCAAGCCATCGAGCCTTCTCTGCCGACTGGTTACGCAGATTTCGCTACGCTCCTTTCACCATCTAGCGGAGAAGGAAGGTAGCACTCGAGCGATGAAACAGGCGAATTAAATTTAGCTCTGAGGCTCGATGATAGTTAACTTGCAGTAAATCTATTACATGGGACAACCGGCTTTATACCAAAGAGGGGAATTCGATGCATTTTTTCGCCCTTAAAAGTGCACGCCTTCGATGGGTTTGAATCCGCTAACTTGCTGACAAAACGGTGTGATAGTCTAGTGGGTAGGACATTGTGTTTTGCAACATTTTGATGTGTTATTTATAATATTCAGATAAAATTTCTCGATGAGAAACGTGTATAATGATGACGTTTGCCCAATGTGAACAAGAACGGCCATCTTGGCAAATGTGCTTTATTTGTAAAATGCGGAATTTTGTCTAATGCGGATATTCTAAATATTCCGCGTTGAGCGAGTTTTACCGTACATAATAAGATAATAAATAATACTAGTATATTATTTATATAATATATATATATATAATATTTATACATTTTTAAATAGATTTGACATATACATTGATACAATTATTATTTCTAATTGTTCTTAATTTTTTAAAATTATTCTTCTATGTTTAACAAACACGTAGTAACAACGGTAATGAGACATACAATAATAAAAAATAGTAATGAAAATAATTTTAAAAAATTGGGGATGCGTATGAACTAATAAACCTCCATGTTCACCCCTGAACGGCATTGCAGTATCTCCGGAAATAGTAAAGACAAACAGCCCAGAAGAAACACTCGCCGACACAGAATTTTAGTTCAACTTTCGAGAACACATGTATGTTATTGTTATTATTATTATTAATTATTATTATTATATAATAGGGTAATGATGATGGGTGAAAGGACTAGGATGATGGTAGGAGGTGTTAGGTGGGTAGTGGGAGGTGCTCATGGGATTTTGGGACCATGCCAGCATTTGCCTTGTGACCGAATCAAACCACGAAAACCTCGGTCTGGATGACCTTCTGAGGGTCCGAAGTCGGACCTACCGATTATGCACTAAGCTATTTCGCTCGGTTGAATGTATAT